ACCACTAGAGTGGTTGATTCCATCGTCTAATGGACCAGAACAATCCATTTGCTCTCCTCCTCTGGCTGGAAGAGTAAGCTCATCCAGTTGTTGTGAAAATGAAATGTTTTCAATGGCGAGTCTTCCATATTCTCCATAACTCCTTTGGTCCCCTGGGTTTGGTGGTTTGGGGTTTAGAATTACATAATTTACGGGTAAAATGAAAACAAATTTCTACTAAATTTATAACATGTGTTTTTTTTTTTTTTTGAAATTAGATGTTAATAGTTGAAGTGAAAATGTGATTAATTGAAGTGATGAATTAATAAGAAGGGATAATAAGAACAGGGGTTAGAGTTGAGTGAGGGAAGTGTAATTTAATCCTTTGCTGAATGGATAGGTGTCGACGTCATCGTCACTGTCATCATCACCGTTATGTCGCCTCGACAATGAACCATTATCTCATGCTCCGTTTGGTATGATTGAAAAGTGAGAGAATGAAAAGTTAGAAGGATGAAAAGTTGGAGGAATAAATAAAACATCATGTTTGGTAAGAAAGGAAAGTAGAAATAATGGAAAAGTGGATGAATTAACTTTCCTTCCAACTCACCAAAATTAATCCCTCAAAAATCGGAATGAAAGTGGATGAACAGTTAAGTATTTGTGTTGAGATGTATTTTATTTGTCTATACATCTTTTTATATATACATATATTATGTATACATTAATTTCATATAAAAATACAATGGTAAAATAAGTATATATATATTTTAAAAATAAATTTTAAATTAAAAATTAATTTTTTTTTTTCATCTTAATAAAGGGTGAAAATTTTCGACTTAACACGATGACCCAACTCGAACTCAATACGAAAATAAACAGGTCAACTTGCAACTCGACATGACACAATTAGTTAAATGAGTTAAATTAGGTTTGATTAATATTCGACACAAACCTGTAATGACTCAACACGAATCTGACACGATACGACACGACTTAATTATCACCCCTAATTTTAGTCAGCACAAAAAAAAGAAGTCATTTTTATTTTTCATCCATCCAACCAAACACAGAGGAAGGAAAGTGTATCTTTTTTATTTTCTATCCTTGAATGATAGAAAATACATCCCTCTTATTTTGCATTATTCATATTTTTCATCCTCCCTATCATACGGAGCATAAATATAACCGGAGTATATAAGGCGCACCTTGTTAGCTTGGCGGGTCTTCCGAACCCAATCCAAAATGATTTGAAAATATCAGTATTTAGGCATAATTTTCAGAACATCGGTTGAGCTTCGATAAAATAAAATTTGAGATTAAATATGACATTGTTCAGATTGATGTCTTAGATTCTTGGCATCTAACCCGAACTTAATACCAATTATTAAACTAGAACACAACCTAGAATTGAACTGAATTCTAACTCAGAATTATAATTCAATAATCAAGTTTAGTTCTATCCGAACCGAAATTATAGTCAAATTGTGTAACTTAAAATCAAACTGAAATTTAACTCAATTTCAGCTCGGGTTCAAACATTTCAATATATAGAACACTTGGTTTAATTTAAATCATGTTAATGTTAATGAATTGCATTTTAATTTAAATCCGGTTCAAATTTAAATCTAATTAAATGATATGGATTAATTTTTTTTTATCAATAATTCAAATTCAAATCTGAATCAGTTGTATTATATTAATGGATTTAGATTTAGACACACTAATATTTGATTCGACTATTAGTTCAATTCGAATTGTACATTTAAATGTATAAATCTATGATAAAATTAAGTAGTTATCTAATAAAACTATTTTTGAATATTATACATATTATGTTAAACTATAACTTAATTTAATTATTCGGATTAAATTATGGAACCCAATAGTCGATTCTTGTCGAATTCAAGTATAAATTATATAAAAAAAATTGTCGAAGTATTGGATTGAAATTCGGTTAAATCTTTTTTAATCAGATTCAAATTGACTATAATTTAACCTACACCTGATCCATTGACTAACCTAATTTGTATCATATATTTTTTTGGTTTAATGATTAGAAGTGTCTGAAACAGTTTACACACATCTCAACTAATCTCCTCTTCAATTAGGTTAAAAGCAAATCATTCACGTCAAAATTAAGGTATTTATGAGGGATAAATTCTTCATAACCTAACTTCAAAAAATTATCAAAATTCACATTGATAAATATTTTAATTTACAATTAATTCTTATTACCACTTTAACTACAGGTTTGAATTTATTCCGTATGGTATCAGTTGCACTAATATAAGACTGATCAAATTTTGAGATCAAATATTTATATCAAATGACATAAAAATTAACTTGAATATATTTATTTGATGTCATATCATTGAGACTCTAATAAAGAATATAAATAATATGCTATCATGTCAATAAATTTGTACCGGTTAACAGGCCGGTGTAACCAGCTTGACCATCCTCCTACCCGCAAACAAAATCGCTTTTAACTTTCAAGATGTCCAGCAAATTGGTCAAAAAGAAAAGTCCACAAAAGGCCCAAAGGCCACAAAGTTCAAGCTTTCACACACTACATTTCACTAGAGTGACCTCCAAGTCAATGCAAGGACATCTAGTATTAGGGAAGACTATGCTATAGAAACACTTTTTTTGCTCAATATGATACTGACCGAAAGTTACGATTTGATCAAATTAAGTTATGCTTTAATGTAATCAATTGGTGTATATCTTCGTTGCACATGGACCAACATACTTGATCATGTGATGAGTGAAATATATCTATTAAAGTTATGGATAACTTTTTTCCAAAATTCATGTCCTCAATAAATCATGATATTTGATGAATCAAAATTTACATTCTATAATAATATCTCAAAATTGATTGACCGAAGTATCTACTTTATTCAAAGCAAATCAATATTAAGATTTTTCAGTTCTCTGTGACAATTATTGTTGTCTACACCATTTTTTTTATATTTTGATGTCATCTATCTGACCACTCTTTAAGAAATAATAGAAGATATTGTAAAGAATCGTAACACCCAAAAGAATATTTACCTCTATGTTTTTGCGGCCAAAGTGTATATGTATTATGATATCTCTCTATAGAAAAACACATCAGGGTTATTCTCGTTAATCCATATAAATGCAACTCGGTTTGCTGAAGGGGAGTTATAAACTCATTGATCTAGTTTGATATATCTTTTGTAATATGAATTTTGAAATTATTCGATGAAAGAAAATCTTTCAATGTTCTTAAGAATTGAACATAAGAATTTCCTTCAAGAACATTCATCAATTTATCCACTATTGCCTCATTCAAACTTATATCTTTTATTACTCTTATTCTACGTTGAACTTCTTTTTCAGGTATAGCTGAAAGTAACATAGACTATTTTGTTTCAAATTATACGTTTTGTGACAATTTGATTCTCACTCTTTTAATTGTGTCAATTTTGTCCTTTAACTTTTTAATTTGTGTCAATTTGATCCAATCAAAGCAGTTGAAATTTATTAATAGAGATCGTCACATCACATGCATCTCACATAAATCACACTCGAGGTGCATTCTTTGGAAACTTTACAAACTAAAGTGACACAAATTATAAACGTGAAGGACCATAATGATATAAGTTACAAATTTGAGGGACCAAAATGACCCAAACTTGATATCAAATTTTTTTTAATGGTTTGAAAAAAGGGTATAGGCAAATGACAGCGTTCAGAGACCACCCAAATAAGTATAGACTCTCATTGGTGGGAACATGAGGTTCCTGACCATGCCCATTATTTCTTTCGAGAATGAACCTAGTTAGATTAACATAGTGATCAACTACTGAACCTTAATGTAGACTTTAAAACTCGAACGTTCAACTTTAGGGTGAAAGTTCGGGAGGTATCCTACTGGACCACCCCACTTGGTGGTAACTTGGTACCAATTATTGAATTCAAATTCAACCTAGAATTTAACTAAATTATTACTCATATTTTGTAAATCTAGAATCAAGCTTCGATATAATCGGAACTGTAGTCAAATTGTGTAAATTAAAATCAAATTACAATTGAAACCTATTTCAACTGGGATTCCAACATTTAAAGATATAGAGCACTTGGTTTAAGGATTTATGACTTGGATTGTGTTCTTGAATTCCAACATTTTCAAACTATTCAACCTACTTGAATTGCAATCCCAAGCCTAGGGCTAGTTTTTCACTAATTGAACTAATTTTAAAAAATCAATCCCACTATATCATATAATAATTATTTTAAAAAAAAATCATCAATTTTTTCCAAAATACATGAACCTAAAAAAAAAAAAATCAATAGGTGTATACTATCATATATGAACAACGTCTGAAATAAAAATTGTAAAGAGGCACAAATTAACCAAAAATTAAATGATTAACTTGTGATAGAAATAAGCAGAAAAATGTGAGAATAAAATTCAAAGTGCTAGCCATCTTATTAGAAAGATGTTGGGACCGATGACAATATTTTGTAATCTCAACGGATTGTAAATTTTATCTACTTGAGTCGTAATTTTATCATATTAAATCATAATATTAAAAAAAAAATGGCCAAGTATTTTTTGTAGTTGGGGATGACTCTTCTTCGGATCACTCGATTGACAAGGACACAATCTTTGTCCTTCTCAAAAGTCTTTTCCGGATCACTTGATTGATAAAGATACAATCTATGTCCTTGTCAAATGAAGTGACGACCATGGTTGGTGTCCTCTTCGATTTTTCGCTACTAGAATTTTTCACGTCTTCAAAAGTTGAACTTAGTAAAGAACCTTTCCTACATTACGAATGATAGAAAACGGTCTTTCTGAGCGCCTTATCAATTGAGTGACTAACATGAAAGATTAGATGTGTCTTGAGTTTGGGGGGAAGTTGAACTTGATAGGGAACCTTTCTCACATGACTAATGATAGGAAACGCTCCATCATATTTAGGGATTTGGTCAAAACTAAAATCTGAATTTTGACCAAATAAAAGAAATATTTAAGTATTTAGTTAACGAACTTGTATATCAGTTGGAAATGTTGCACTGAAAAGCATTGTTTGCCTTGCACCTAGTGGAGGCATCTCCATCCGCTCAACAATTTTTCTTATCTGGTGCTCAAAACCCATATCCAACATTCGATCGGCTTCATCCAAAGCCAAATACTTGACTTCTTGGAGAGAAACTCTGGCTCTCTCTATCATATCCACCAAGCATCCTGAAGTGGCAACTAGGATGTCAACACCCTGTTCCAAACCGCAAAGCTGCAGAAGCAAAGTTAAGAAAGAACAAAATCAGCAAACTCGGGAAAAAGTATAAGCTCAGGAGTTCCATGGATGGAAAAATTTTGGATGGTACACTGCAGTCATGGATTGAGCAACGCGTATAGAATTACTTTATCTAACAATAAATGTCAATCTCAAAGAAAAGAAAAGTACAACCAAGATAGAATCTTCCTCTTTAAAGAGAATCATAAGGTGCACCTATTAGCACCATGGTACAACACTAGATATTGAGTTATACGAATCCAACTACATAGGGTTACACGGTATTCTTCATGGAAATGGTTACCATCATTCAATTTGAGAGGCAATTGTCAATGTACATTTCACTAGCCTCTTGTCATCAATAGATCATTGAGAAAATCGCACCTTAAAGTGGGCAAGTAAGACATTAAGAAAAACACAAAAATGCAACCAGTAGACATCAAAGTTACAAAAACAACGGATGATACCATAATAAACGTACTCCAATAATATGCAACTTGTACATGAATTCATTACAATAATGCTGGCTGAATAATGATTGCTAAGAGAAAAAAGAAAAATGGGAGCTCATAAGTCAACCAATGCTCATTGCTCATGCAATTCACCTATGATGCTTACTTGTTATAAGGTGATCCTCAAGCAAATGGTGATAACACAGATTAGTTCGGTCCCTTGGTATAATGCAGGTTTTGCGGTAGATGACCAAAAGCCATTTTATCATTTAAATGTGCCACTAAACAACACCACTTAGACCCTAACAAAGCTTTAATTCAAAGTGAACTGCTAATTAAAATTTCTTCAAATGCTTTACAAATTGACGTGGCCATGAAAACAGTATCAATAGGATATCATATACTATAAACTTGACAACAAATTCAGTGAGGGTCTGTTTGGAATGGCAATTGTCGAATGCCCCTAGTTGTTTTTACATCAATCTCTTCATCTCAATTCTATTGAAGGATGTTGTTGGAAATAGTGGATTCCTCTGGCGTTGGGACGAGATTGGATCCGCCTCGGGTTAGGTCCATTCTACCACGAGCGAGCATGTTTTCCACCTCCAACAATACTCCCTCCAGAACAGGGTCTGTCGACTCCTTCAAATGCTGCCCAATTAAACAAGGAAAACAAGTTTAATACATTTATATCACAATTCATTGACAAAATAAAGAATACCTAACATATATATGTGCATAGACTTACTATGATTTGAGAAATCTTGAAAAAACTATTGAGTGAGTATAGAATTTGTCGAGAAAAAGGTGACAGCAGTATAAAGAAGAAAATGCACTCTAACTAAATAACAATCCTATCTTCAAGTAGGTCCTAAGTTTACCAATTTGATGAAGTTATGTTTGGGCATACTGAATAGCTTCCAAAGTCATTTGGATGATCCAACTATACTGACCTGAAGGAGATTGTTCATGATGATGGTCCCATCTCCAACATTTGCCAGAATAATATTCAAGAATGTTGTGCGGTTCAGTCGAAGCAGTTGGCTCAATTGTTTGGTCCGCACTGTAAAGAGCTGGGGCCTGTAGCAAAGAACCCCAATCTCACCACAGAGATCACCTGTTTTAGCCTCTCCAACAACCTGAATGATTTATAGTACAATTCAAGTCTATGCTTGATGTCTTAACAAACTAGGAGCAACACACCAAACAAAGCATTTAATGAAGCAATCATATGTACAAAGAATCATGCTAACTTACCTGTTCAGCGCCATTTTCGAGAACCAGCAGATCCTGCAAAGCAATTTAAATCAGTGGGAGAAGAGACCAAAATAAAGAAATTCCAGCTTTTCAATTGAAATAAGTCCACAAATATCCTATTCATCTAGTTCATAAGCCATTAAGCACAAAACTAAAAAAATAGGGAAAGAAGAGTGGCCATTACCACAGCTCCTGTAACAAGTATGTAGAAATCTGTGGGTGTTTCATGCTGCAAAATGACATCTTCCTGGGGGAGAAAGTACTCAGCTTTCATCTCAGAAGCCTTCAAGAATTACAGAATTAATGATCTACTATAAGGGAACAGATATGTATATAGTTCAAATTTTGACAGATTCTTGGAAAATTACCAGTTGGAAAATCAAGTCATTGGAGACCCCACGAAACAAGTACACCTTATCCACAAGAGAGGAGAATTTAAAACGTGAGATGCTCGACTGGATTGCTTTAGGAAGTGAATCAAGAGTCTCTTGCTGCTGCAGCCCCTCCAAATCTGTTCTGAACTTCAGACACAAGTGTGCAATTATCTGATCTTGCAAGTGAACAGGCAATTGATTTCTTTGTCCAAAACTTGAGGCTGCTTGAATAGTATCCCTCTGGTGTGGAATGCAACATCTATCAGAATTTTCATCTATTTCAACTGCTGCATGTAGGGTGCTAGATTAGAATGGTAAGTAAGAAGCCACTTACAAATTGTCCTGTTCTAATGGTACCATGGAGGACCAAATTTGTCATGTGTCCTATTACATAAACTTTCAATCCAAGGTTGAAGAGCATGTAGAAAATGGAAAAGATCATTTCAGTTGTATTCTTAGCATGAAAATCTCCATGTCCAACAGTTGTAAGGGTGCTGATGGACATGTATATGGAAGTGGCATATCGAGTCCACAGGCTCTGGTGAAGGAAGTCAGTCATAGATGCCCCCATCCATGTCCTGCTTGGATCAGGGTAGTGAGCCGCAAGAAAATAATAAAAGCACCCAGCACAGTGCACTGCAAATAATGTGACCTATACAAAGAATCCAAAGCCAAATAAGACAGAGAAAGACAGAATATCATTGCTTTCATTTTTAATATACCTAGACGTGTCAAATATATACGTACACAAGTGAGCTCAGCGCATCGAACCCAAAAATAGTTGAAGTTGCTATCTTTTTCCAATCTGTTTGATGAAGAGCAAATAAGGGGGTTATGCATAAGAAGTAAAAATGAGCTGTAGGCTGGACCAAAAGGCCTCAACATTCTTCATAACTACAAAAAAACACATTACCTGGCAAAAAAGGCACTAACTCTGCGCCAGAGTCTAAGCATATTGAATAAGCCATAAATCCGGAGAAAATATGGGAAAATATTCCTAGCAAGGTCAGGAGGGATTATGGATACGACATCAAATACAAACCAAGTTCTTGCGTACTTCCAAGCAATCTTCTTTGGCTCATCGACAAGAAGGTAGGTAGCTCTATCGTGGAAAGCTACAAAGAAGGTGAGAACAATGTCAATGGCAAAGAATCCATTGACAACATTATCAGTGATGGAGAGTAGGCGTGCTGGGTCTTCGAGAAACCCGAATTCGAATGGAATCACAAAAGCACTATATAGAACCAGAACGACAAGAAAATTCTTCCATGCCCTGCAAGAATTAGTCCTTCTGAGCCAATTTCAAGGAAAAAAAACCATGTCCATCTAATTAGAAAGTTCGGAAACTATGACAACCTCCAGAGCCACAACATACACAATGTTCAATCCTCAAAATCCATGAATAGAAGTAGACGCCAAAATACTCATAAAAAGTTCTAGTTTTTTCAGTACTGAAGCAATCTTAATAAGATTCAAGCAATATTTATTACATACCCAGAAATTCTAAAAAAATAGTGTCATGCAGATAGATTAAGACCTACCAGTCCCAGGAGAAGAGGACTGCCAGAAAGTAGAATCCATTATAGCAATAATAATTAGAAACACTAATATCACTAGGAAAAGGGAAAATTTTTTGTTAATAACAAAACATAACAGTATTCAGCCATTAACGTCCTTGTGTAAGACAGATTTGTAGACATGGGTGCTCTGGAATGGTATTCAAATTATTCTTTCCCATCAGAAAAATATAGAAGTCAAAATAATACCAAATTGGCGGAAAAATCTTAATCAGATACTGCATAACCAACACAGGGATTTTCAATAAAAAAGTCAACAAGAATATACATAGACATCCAGTCCAGGCTCCAATCAGAAAAGTTTTTGGGACATTGATTCTCTCTCTTATACTATGCAAATCTGGAATTTCAAAACAATGTGCAGAATCAAAAACTTTGTAAAATTGCACTTCTGAAAAAAAAGACAAAAAGCAAAAAGATATTGTGTCGTGTAAAACTTTGAAGTTTCATATTTTTGACATCAAATCAAGACCAATACATTATACACCTCAAAGAAAAAGCCAGCACTTCAATCCCAAGAATATACCAGAAAAGTGTTTGATAAAAGTATTAAACTATTCCAACAACTGAGGTATGAGAACGTGCATGAGAAAATTAACTAAATTATTACAGAAAGAAAACAACCAAACAATTACTTCTTATGACACTTTGAAGGCATCACAAGATTCAATGATACTATTTTTCACATTACTTGAACATAATTTATTTACTTAATTTGTGAACAATAGACTCCTATTTACTAAGATCCACAATCAATCCAATGATTGTGATATGCTAGGTTACCAAATTAGATGTAAATAGCATTAAAAAAAATAATACAAAATTAACAATTAAAAAAAAAAAAGAGAGTAAGAATAGATAAATACAAAACTATAGTTCATCGGTGTAACTGTGTAAGCACAGATGTGGTGAGAGAGAGAGGGAGAGAAAGACAGATTTTCAGCAAAAGCTGTAGTACAATACAACACTTCTCCATTGAATCAACCAAATAAAATTATACAAATTAATTCATGTAATCCAATAACTTTCGATTAAGACTCAAACGAAAAAGAAAAATGTACAACCCAAAATCAAAATAAACAATAGCAAGAAAACAAAGGTTGGCACCTGACGTTACTATCAATCAGCACAAGATTCAGTATTATATACACGCAAAACAAAAATGCAGTGCAATAATAGTTGACCGTAACCAGATGTATAGATACAGAAAGAGGGAGAGAGAGAGAGAGAAGGATGTATAGATACAGAAAAGAAAAATAAGATTGAAAAACCTATAACGGCGATCATATGGCGATACAATGAATCGGCGGATCTTGAATCTACGTTTGCTTCTTGCACCGAGAGAAGGAAGATTCTCAGTAGGGAGACTGTAATGGCTACCTTCTCCGTACAATTGTTCAATCTTTTCTCTGTACAATTGTTCAATCTCTTCTGCACCGTCCGCCATTGCTTTTCAAATGTTCGTTGTGTTCGTTTTCCCTATGCCTCTCTCTCTTTATATACCGGTCACTGTTGGCTTGTATCACAAGTCTCCCACTCTCTTTATATACCGGTCACACCTGAAGGTATGAAGTCGGCTGGAATGATAGGCATGCAGTGGAGAGAGAAAAGTTGAAGGAGAGAGAAAATAAAAACCGTTACCTCCATTAACCGACTTTTTCTGTTTCACAATTTCTTCTAATTTTCCCTCCTTCGAATGCAAATTTCAAATGAAACTCTAATAACCAGGTAGTAATTTAAGTAATAAGAAAAGCCAATTGTAAGTTTAGATACTTTAAATTTAAATTTTAATAATTTTATTAAATTAGATTATGAGAGATTTATCTTACATATATATCATAGTCTTATCGTAGATAACTTACCTTTTACCGGATTATAAAAGAGATTAGTCGAAATGTGCGTATACTAATTTAGACACTCTTGATCGTTGAACAAAAAAAAAAAAGATAAAATGAAACTCTAATGAATTGTGTGTATGTTGAGATGTAAACTAGAATTTAATGAAAGGTTAAAATTTTGTAAAAGTGAGTGGAATGGAAATTCAAATTTGACACATTTTTTTAATTAGAATGCTCACAGTTTTGAGTTATTTCACGTACATAACTCCTATAGTATATGTTTTCAATTTAGTTGGGTATAAAAAATCAAGATCTCTAAAAAAACATAATAAAAAATAAGAATTATAAAAAAAATTGTCAGAAGATTTATATAGATGATTTATATTAAATCGATAAGTTTTTTCTTATTAAATTGAGTTTTCATCATAAATTTACAAGAGACAAGTCCACGTGATGCATAAATTTTATCCCTCCGTATTCAAATTAAAAAATGTTATGACAGTAACTTTAAGGGGTATTTCAAGTGATAACAGAGTTGTAAATTCAGATGTCTTGAATTTGAGTTTTGACAATTATTTGAGCTCAAGTCATAAGAAATTTATCCCTCATGAATATTATAGTCTCACGTGTGAATGATCTACCTTATACCAGACCGAATAAGGAATTAGTTGAAGTACACATAAATTAACTCGAATACTCTTGATCATAACACCGAAAAAAAAATGATATTCATATTTAACTTGGGAACTTGATCTGAGACCTGATTAATTATAATAGTTTAATTAAAAATAAGTGCTTCCAACGTTTAAACTCACACACTAATGTAATAATTGTATTGAATTGAAACACATGAAAATGAAAATAGATCACCAAATTATATTCATATAATAAAGTAGAAAACTAGCTAAGGATATTTTTTGAATCTTCTTTTTATTTTTCCCAAAATTATTAATATGTACAGGTAGAGGACCAAAAAATCCAAAGATATTTTTTCTTGCAATTCGTCCATAATTCACGCGCCTTCAATGAAGGTAAGACTAGCATCAGCACTAACAGCCTCCTCAGTCCTCACCCAGAACGTCTTTCTCCTCCCACACACGCACATTCTCCCTCCCTCCCTCTCCCCTCCCCTCCCCACCTGAGAGAGTCAGTGTCACCCTTTTCTCTCTCTACCTCGAAACCCACTTTCTCTTTCCTAGGGTTTCACAGCTTCTAGATCCCATGGGAAATCAAACCTCATCATTTTACTAGTACCTCTGCACTACTAGCAATGCAAGCTTCCTCGTCATCTTTCACTCCTTCATTCATCGTGTAGTCCCTACTCTCGTTCACACACGCAAAAGCAGCTATATGTAGCAGTAGCTTTTTACGGCATTGCCTTGTCCGTACTATGGAGTTTCTATCGTTTCATTTCAATGATGCATTACAGACTTAGTTTCATTGTCTTTCTGTAGTTACAATATTTTTACGGTCTTGGTTTCGGGCTTTAAGTGTCATTTTCGCCATTCTAATTGGACTTCGAAGCTCAATCTCAGTCTAGGGTTTTTGTGTTTTTCATATCAGACGATAACAATGTCATGGGTTGATGATGAACCTCAAACTGAATCTACGCAGAGAAGAACAACTCGCCCGAGTCTACCCACACATGTCCCTTCAAACCTCAGAAACAGCGTCACCGGTCGTAATGTCTTTGTCAAGCCATTTGGTTTCACCACCGATTCATCAGACAGATTCAACCGAGCAGTTTCAAGTCTTGGCCGAGGCCGAGGCAGATTTTTTCATTGTTTTGCTATTGACTTTTTGTAAATCAGTCACTAAAGATGCAATATGACAACTGGGTTGTAACATTTCTGATTAGCATGATGATATAGATGTAAAACGGAAAGCAAGCACCTTACGGGTGTTACCGCTTTCCTATGAGGATGCCTCTTTTTTTGTTTTTTTAAAGTTGACCTATGTACATATATGTGGGCTTGAGAGAGAAGAGATAAAGTGGTATATAGATTGGATGAACTCTGCTAGGGAGCCGAGGGTTCTGCCCTTGTGAGGGAAATTTTATCTCAAACATAAAAGGGGAAGTAAGTATATCCTGCTTCACCACCGACTGAGTGGTGTGGTGGCAAACACGTCTGTGGGTGAAAACCCCCAAGAGGCCAATGAGTAATGGGTCTAATCTCGGAGATAATAATGTACTGATTCCTTTCTTCTAGTGTTGTTCATATCGTTCTAGCATTTCTGGCCCTTGATATGTCGGCTGTCAGGTTATGGCTCAATGGTCTTTAGGGCTCGTTCCATCTGTTTAGGCCTTCCCGTCACTGTTTCCCAATGGGTGGGGATTCATACGATCACGCCAAGGAGAGTCATCCATGACTGGTTGCGCCATCCTACACTTGTCAATCCGCGAAGAAAAAAAGGAGAGTAATATTTGCTTCCTTGAAAGTTTGAAAATTAGATTGAAATACATCTGTTGGGACATATATTGTGGTGAACAATCAAACAAGAAAGAGAATTAAAAACAATGAACTACGTACATGGGATCGACCGACTGTTTTCACTCTATGAGAATCCCATCAAGGCTACAATTTATTTATAGACACCATTTTAGAATGTCAATCCTGGTCAATTGCATTAACTTGATATTGATAAAAAAAAAAAAAATTTGATAAGAAACAACTATTTTATTAATAATAATATTGATAAATTTTGATATACCAAATCGTTGTAAAACACATATATCAAGTATTCATTTGAAAATACCTAGTATAGCTGTAACATAATGTGGGTGGCTATGCTGCCTACACCCCCAAACACCCTATTCGACCCCTGGCAAACAATAGCTGATATCTTCGATGCTACACTCCGTTCCGCCCATTGGGCATTGGATGTTAGGGCCCAATGAATACTAGGCATCCACTATTTCCAACAACATCCTTAAATAGAATTGAGATGAAGAGATTGATGTAAAAACAACTAGGGGCATTCGACAATTGCCATTCCAAACAGACCCTCACTGAATTTGTTGTCAAGTTTATAGTATAGTATATCCTATTGATACTGTTTTCATGGCCACGTCAATTTGTAAAGCATTTGGAAAAATTTTAATTAGCAGTTCACTTTGAATTAAAGCTTTGATAGGGTCTAAGTGGTGTTGTTTAGTGGCACCTTTAAAATGATAAAATGGCTTTTGGTCATCTACCGCAAAACCTGCATTATACCATGGGACCGAACTAATCTGTGTTATCATCATTTGCTTGAGGATCGCCTTATAATAAGTAAGCATCATAGGTGAATTACATGAGCAATGAGCATTGGTTGAATTACGAGCTCCCATTTTTCTTTTTTCTCTTAGGAATCATTATTCAGCCAGCATTATTGTAATGAATTCATGTACAAGTTGCATATTATTGGAGTACGTTTATTATGGTATCGTCGGTTGATTTTGTAACTTTGATGTCTACTGGTTGCATTTTGTGCTTTTCTTAATGTCTTACTTGCCTAGTTTAAGGTGCAATTTTCTCAATGATCAATTGATAACAAGAGGCTAGTGAAATGTATGCCGACAATTGCCACTCAAAGTGAATGATGGTAACCATTTCCATGAAGAATACCATGTAACCCTATGTAGTTGGATTTGTATAACTCAATATCTAGTGTTGTACCATGGTGCTAATAGGTCTAACTTATGATTCTCTTTAAGAGAAAGATTCTATCTTGGTTGTACTTTTGTTTTCTTTGAGATTGTTGAAAATATAGCAGTAGCCTAATTTATAGGGTTTTATTAAGTTTTCCTTTTTACTTTTTGTTCTTATGATAACTCTCATTGACTATATATACGGGGGCTCTACACTTAGTTTGTATCCCTTTCACATATTCTAAGTTGGTATCAAAGCAAAAACCTAGCGTCCATCTATAACCCTAACCTAACCTTAACCCTAGCCTCCATCACCTTACCAGCAGCCACACCACCGGCCAAAATAATACAACCCACAGCAAAACCACACTACCATCGAACAGCCAGCACCACCCACATCCCAACCTACACCACTATAGTAGCGAAACACTAAACATCAAACCATCATCACCCAGCATCTTGCACCCCCACACGCTTGCCCAAACCAATACCCACTACCCACGCGACTGCCCAAACCAAACCACTAAATCAGCCAGCCAAATCCACCGACCAGACAACACAAACAAAA